AGCTTTTTACTCTATCCTAATAAAAGGAAAAGAGAGTAGCATTTTCCAAAATACACATCAAAAGTAGGAAGAAAACTGGAAAATCAGGATTTTTTTCTAAACAGATATTGTGTATAAGCATGATCGTGCGTGTATAAACACTCAGTGTATACAGAAACACACAGATATAAACTAAATCTGCTTGCCAAACACACTTCCATAACAACCATCTGTTCTCAACTGCCTGGAATTTTCTCAAATTATCCTTCAAAGACCATTTAAATTCATTCACTTTCATGTCAGAGACTCATAGAATTCAAAATTTTTTCTTAGGGAAAACTTAAAAATTTATCAACCAAAGCCAACCTCAACCAACCACTTGATTTACATTTATTTAGCCAGCCATAAGGAGAGACTCTAGCAAGAAACAAATCACTTTTTAAATCATGAAGTATTTATACCAAGTACCATGGAGGGTACAGAAAGTAGTACTGAACAGATGCCTAGTTTCAGAGGTTTACAATCATTCAAGAAAATTAAAACATATTTTTCTTAAAAATGTCGCAAGGTAAATTCTAATTGGTGTGACAGTAGCCATAAGTCCAACAAGTGCACAGAAAGCAAGAATAGCTTGGCTTTGACAGAACAGGTAAGGTTTTATTTGGGCCCTAAAGATGGTGGCTCATAAGAGGATGACACACAGGAAGGAAGCCAAAATGTACCCAAAGGGTGAAAGAATGTGTCTTGGGAAACAGGACATATGTGGGGTCAAAAATAACCCTCGTTAGAAAAGCAGAAGCAGTATACAGAATGAGGAGTGGGAATAAGTACGGGTAAACTGGTAGTGTGTGGCTACACTTTTTGAAAAATCAGGCAGGAGTTTTGATCTTCTATAGGAGTTAAGAAGTAACCACCTTAGATCCTTGAGCAGGACACCGAGAAATATCAGAAATTTCCCCAGGACTGTGGAAAAATCAGTCTGGTAATGCATTAGGAAGGACAGAGACTTGCAGGAGGCAGCTAATAAGGCACATACTGCAATAATGTGAGCACTGGCCTCGGCAGAAACCAAGAGGAACATAACGGAGACAATCTGAAGACAGATACAGGGTGTGAGGTGGTGGTTGCAACCAGCATAGAAATGGGAAGAATCAAAACCATACACTCAGGCCAAGTGGACAGGAACCTAAGCTCTCATCACACAAGCTGGTACAGAGCTAGAGGGATGCAAACAGCAGCAAGGAACTTTGGCCAAGTGGTCTGTCTGCCCATTTAAGTGCCTGCTTTGAGTGGAAGGAAGATGAACACCAGTGAGAAAAATATAACCATACAAAGAAATGGAGAAAACAAGAGCCTGAAAAAAGATAGTTTCTCATTCCTGTCTTTCTAATCCAGGACTTAAAAACCATACCTGTGTACTTAATGGGTATTAAGCATATTTACTATCTATATATTAATGCATATATGATCTACTGAGTGCAAGCTACTACCTAACAAAGTACTACACGTGTTACGTGAAAATGAAAATGAAGATACATTAAAAAGTGACGTTTGCTTTACAAAAGTTTACAGTCTGACTGAAGGAGCAATCATGAGTGATATTCAGAAGGGTACATAGCAGAGGCACTGACAAATCTGAACAGTCATAGGCTCTGAACAAGTGTAGCAAAGGTTCCAGTCAGCTGACTCTTGATTTTGGAATAAATACAACTGTTATAACACCACGAAACAGAGGATGTAAAGTGCATATGTCAGTCTTCATCTGAACAGTTCCTGGAAATTAGTGTAAGTTTTACTTTATTGAAACTCTTAAATGCAAAGAGATACACAAAGAAAAGGCACAAACTCTACCCTAAAGTGGCTCACGGCCTAGAAGAAAGAAACACAAAACAAGCATTTTAGAGGGCATGGGAGGGGGGAGTGCACAGAGGAGAGGGGGCACGTATCTGTAGCTCAAAGGGAGCAGGGAAAGCTTCCTGGGAGATAACAACTGACAGCATAGGAAGAGGCCTGACAAAGCAGAGGGGACAGTCTGCAAAGACACAGACCAAGGCACAAGTGGGCACTGTTAAGTTGAAGCCTCATTCAAATCAAAGTCCTTCTTTCTAAAAGGTAGTATCATACAAACCACACAAAGTGCAGAAAGCAAAAACTGAGACAGCCCTGTAAAAATCTATACATTGTAAAGATGCCACAACTTTAAAAGTGTTCCAGACACTGACTTCAGTTTGACAAATAGTAAGACAGCAGAGTTGTGGTCAGGATAGAAACTTATTTTCAGCCTCTGAGTCCCTTATCCCAGTCAGGGACTGGTTCTCCCGAATCCAAAGCAAGGCTGGGCTAACATGCAAGTCTTGAGATAGAGTGAACCATGTGCAAAGATGTTTTTAGCAACTCACCACTAGGTAACCGATGCTGAGGTTGCAATCTGGGGCTGGGACAGGGGCCAAGAGCCACAGAATCGGGCTGAGCATGCTGCAAAGACCCCATGCAGAAATGCAGAGAGGTGGCAGCGGGGCCTTTTGCTTCTCACTCCACACCCTTCTCTACTCACCAAACTAAAGCCAGCAAGCAGGTACATACCCACCCAAAAGGCCTCAGGACCAAAAGGCCTCAGGAGAAAGACAAAGAAGAGCCTCATGCTCTTCAGCCGATTTTCTGTGCCACTGGACACTTTAAGGATTGCCTGGAATCCTAGATGAGATCCTTGACTTTCAAGCTTTGTGTTACCCTGAGAAATCTTTGTTCAAACCTCATGAGGCAGCCCATATGTAAAACAATGCAAGTGGAGTTGATCTGGTTCTGCAGCAGCTGGGGCTCCGTGGAGCACTAACTCTGAACCTGCTCGACCCCTCGCAAGCTGTCTAACCTGGCCTGCATGCTGCGCCAGACCTGTGGCACAGAGGCCAGACCCACACGGTTGCCTCTCTGAACAGCAATGCCAAAAACACATATTAAGCCTCTTTCCTGCTCAAATTTTGTTAACAATTTTTGAGGCAAATTAACACAAATTCAGATTCTGTCTTAAGTTTCACCATATAAAAACTCTCTCTTTGCTATACTCTTTAAGAGGATAAAAAGAGTCTGGGTAAGATACATAAAATTTCCTTAATTATTATTTCTGTTGGATCAGCTAATGCTGCCCTTCAGGTTCCAGGAAGTCATACCAACACCTGAAATACGGTTACTGAGCTAGTTAGGCTAAATGGCTACTAGGAGAAAATAAAATCCGTTATGGTGTTTTAACTACCAAACCAGCCATAAAATCTCCCAGGAAGGAAAACCCATTATAGAGCAATATGATCCTACCACCTCAGAGCAGTCTTGCAAGGGCTATTCTTAACTATTTGCCCGAAAAGTACTACAATGACAGTACATCAAATCATTATTCCTATTAAGTGTCATATTCATTAGCTAGACAACCCTTGGCAGAAAGAACACGAAGGCAACTTGGACGTGCTAGTCACTGACCAGCTGCTGCTATGTCACCCCATGACCTGGGTTGTTCTGTGCCTGTTTCTTACTATTAAAACAGGGACAATGACCCCTGCCCCCAGCTACTTTCCATGCACACACACAGGGGATATGTGAAACTATGTGAAATGATAGAAGCTGGAGGCAAGGCGGTGTGAACAAACGGAGAGCCACCAGCTTTGCAGAGCCACACTGGCGTCCCGGAGGAAGGACAGGCATTTGTGCTGCAGCTGCACATGCAGAGCGTGAATTCTGCCGAGTCAGCGACGGCGGCTGGCGTCCAGAACGGCTGCTGCCGAGACGCCCGCCCACATGCATGGACTGCTGCTGCTTTTGCCGTGATTTCCTCCCTGTGAGCTCCTCGGCACGGACCGCCTCCTTTTCAACATTTACCCCCTTCCTTTCTAGCACGGGGTATCGGGTCCTAACGCTCTCCTCTTCCTCCCTGATAGTGCTGCCAATGAAATTCCTAAAACGCAAATATGGCCACCCTGCTTCTCTGCTTGAATCTGTCAATGCACCCCGCCCCTCCTTCCATCTACCGTACAAAGGCCAAATACCTTAGCTGATAGCCAAGGCCCTGTGTGCGTGCCTCTTCCTACCACGCAAGGCTCATCCCCACCCCTCCTTAGCTCAGACCCAGCATCCAGCCCAGCTCCTCTATTTGTCATACAACCTGCAGGACCGTTCTGGCTACAGGGCTTAGTTCACGTTGGAAACGCCCCCTAAAGACCCCGCTCCTCCTTCCGTGGAGCTACGGCATCCAGCACAGATTTCTAAGGCTGCACTTACCACAGTATTAGTATAGCCACAGCCCTTCCTCCTAGTAAAACTCCTTACAGGCAGCAACCGTGCCTTTGTACTCATCCTCGTGTCCTAGGACCTGGCCTTGCAGTGGATGCTCTTTACACCTCTGCTGAGTTCAGGTTCCAGACTACTGAACTACTAGTTCGTGTGTTTTCATTCAGTGAACAACTACATGCTATGTATCACACTTTTACATTCCACTGGGAAGGACAAAGGTATAAAATGAAACAGAAAGCAGGTCACAATTACAAGTGGCAGGAAGGGCTATGAAGGAAGCAAACAGGAGTGAAACAGAGAATCATTAGGATGAGTGACGGGGATCTGCTCAAAATGAAACAGGAAGGTATCTCTGGGCAGTGACATGGTGACCAGCTGTGTCAAGCACGTGGTGGTGAACATTCCAGGCAAAAGGGACACTGCAGGCGAAGACCTTCAGTGGGAAAGAACTGCTAATTCAAGGCATTGAGAGAGAGCCTGTCTTTTGGCTAGAGTGGTGAGGGCAACGGGGAAAGTCATCTATCTGAAAAATGAATGTGGTGAATTAGGGAGAGTAGAGGGTCCCGCTAGGCACAGTGAGGGGCTCTGGGCTTTATTCTAAGTACAATGGGAACCCACCTGAGGGTTAGAAGCAGCCATAGAAAGATCTAACTTAGGTTTAGCAAAGAATCACAGAACAACCCTGTCAAGTAGGCCCAAATGACTGTGCAGCCGAGGCCAGCACCCCAATCCCAAGGCTGTACCTCTGCCTGCCAAGCCAGGGTAGAGGCCGAGAGGGCAGATGTCCGGCCGGCTCCAAGAACAGCGATTGTTTCCCCATCGTCATCCACCACTTTGAAGTCCAGGTCCTCGTTGTATTTCCTGCGTTTCACTTGTCGTCCTGAGCGTCGTTTCTGCAGGGCAGACACCCGTCAGAGATGCTCTGTGAGTCAAAGGCAACAGCTTGTACAAGAACACCCCGCCTCAACACTCACGAACATGCAACGGAGACCCTTCTCACTTTACAAAAGGAACCTTCCTCAAACACAACTCTCTTAAGAACTAAATTCACTCAGATGGGATCTAGCCAAGGGCAGGGACCCACTCTACCACGATCCACTGAGGAGGAGGCACAGGGTCAGAACCCAGAGGGGTGTTTGATTCACCAGTGGCAGTGACTTTGCCCTCCTACTTCTGCAGTTTCTATTCCATCCTCTCTGATACCCCTTCCAGCACAGCTGTACACTCTGATTTTATAACAGTAACATAATAGTTGGCTTATTGTTGTTCAAATTCACCATACTTCCCTGTGGTCCTAAAAAACTACATAATACCAATCTTATTAGAACTTAGAGAATAACACTACCTGGAAATGCAAGGAGACATCTTCATTGTGACAAAACAAGATTCGTGAGTCACCATCTGAGGACTCTTCTATAATTAAGTAGATGTGACCTTTTAGAGAGACACATTCTGCAACACAGCAGCCCAGTGGCTTTCTTCAAACAGAAAAATACATGGTTCATCCCTAGGTACATTTCCTGTCCAAGCAGTAGGAACACTTCTGGGAACCATTCACCAAATAGCTCACTCTCCAATACTCAAACATTAAAAAACAAAAACAAAAGCCAAAGCCCCACCTCTCTTATTTTCTGAAAGATACCCCCTGGGCCTCTCTCTGTGTTCCCATTTCTTCACTAGGTCACCTCTGTGACATATAATTTTACATAAGGGATTCCACATAAAAATCCCTATGTATATATAGATCGTCATCCTAGAAACACTCAACCCCCTGCCGACTTCCATCAACCTGATATGCTTGCGCCTCTGCCAACCAGACACCTAATAGCCATTAGGCCAGCTTTATCGGCCGTGGGGTGGGGAGAGGGGTGTCAATCTCTACTCTGGTACTCCAGACACTACTGCCTATTAGCACCCTAACATTAGGAACTGTCACCTTCCTACAGTGACCATCATCTACAAATCTACGGGGGTCCAGATGACACCTGGAGGTAGAGTCGAGTCAGTCTTATTCCTGCAGCAGCACAGTCTAGACAAACTGCTGCGGATATCACAGGAAACACACTTTAAGTATTAGAACTTATGTCCAATAGAGGTTGCCTCAACTCACGGAGGAAACTGCTGTCAATGTCACCGGCACACTTTGACATATTTTTAAAAATCCCATTTAGGTGGGCAACTGTTTGCATGTTTGGCCAAACTTTCCTTACTGTTTTGGCAGAATAAATGCATCTCTGACTTTTCCAGCATCTGGGAGTATGAAAATGACCCAGCACTCTGAGCCCCACAGGTACTACCTACACAGCAAAGCACAGGCACCCCACGAGCCTTCCTAGCTTGGTTCCTAACTTCATTTGCTACATGCACTCTCTCTGCAGCCTAACATCGTACTACTTTCCAAGAAGGAAACAAATGCCACTAACAAACTGGGAGATTATTCATAAGGACCAGGATGCTAGGGAAAAGCCTATGGTCTTTTGGGGCTTGCCCACCACAACAGCAAAAGGCCGGCTCAGGTCTGTGTGTGAGGGCTGCAGGCTAGAGACAGGGAGAGTCAGCAAGCTCCTGCCCAGCAGCCGCGGCCTCCATGAAGGCTCCCGGTCACAGCCCTACCTGGCTGTCTGCAGACTCAGTGGATTCCTCAGGGCTCCGCAGGGAAGGGTTCAGCCCGCCCTGATCCAGCTCTGAACTCTCCACTGTGGCTTCACTTTTCCTCTTTCCTTTCTTCTTTTTCTCCACTGGGGTTGGTCCTTGCTCCTTGCTACAAGGAGAAATTCAGAATTAAAATGGTTGGGCAGTTTTTAAAACTAAGATGTCTCATATGACCAAAGTGATGATATCATGTCCTAGAATTCTTGGACCAGGGTAGGCTTTAATGGAGAATCTACAAGACTTTCTTCCCAGAAATACACAGAAAATGGGAAGAAATGTCTTCATGGAATAACGTAGAATTCACTTTTTGTACCCCTATCATGACTATTATTAATATGATAAAATAATATGAACATCTCCAAAAACCTTACCTTCAGTTTATGTAAACGTCTTCTCTAGGAAGTTTAACTGCTCCGCAGATACTGTGAATCATCACATTTCAATCTCCCTTTAAATTACATGGGAAAGACATCTCCTTAATCTGTCATCATCCTCTATTAAGAAGGCTTATGCGTAAAACTCAGAGTGAGCAGTAGGAACCCAAAAATGAAGACAACAGTGTCCCTTGCCATTGAGGAGGTTACAATTGTGAAAATCTTACAGACCACCCAGAGCCACAGCCCAGGGCAGTAGATGAATGCTTCCTGAGAGGTACAGATGGGCAAAGTCCATCCATCCTGTAAGGCCCTGCTAAGATGGAAACATCTCCTCTAAAAAGCCACTCCTGACCCTCCTCGCTGATAAAATTTCTTGCATTCTCAAAGCATCTCAAGTGTGCTTTGCTTCAGCTACTCACACTCTGGTCTTTCACCAAAGTTAATCAGTATGACACCAGGCTCAGAACCATATAGTGCCCAGATCCCCTGCAGTTGCTCAACAAACATCTGCTGAATAATTTATACTTCTCTGATCTCTCCCACCAAACTCTAAGTTCCTAGAGGGACAGTATGCACTTAAGTTTTGTATCCTCATAGTGAGTAGTCTTATGCCTTATACACAGTAAATATTCAATAAATATTTATTGAATAGCTGGATGAATGCATCAGTGAATGGATGAGATTACTTGTTGGGGAGATTTGGGAAAACACATTTGAGTATACATGGAATTTTGAAAAAAGATAGGAGTAACAGTAACTACAGTTAATACTTATGTAACACTTACACAGGCAGGCACAGTTCTCTAAGGTCTTTACATGGATTATCCTTTAGTCCTTTACTCTTCACAACAGCCCTGTAAGGTAGGTAGTATTGTTATCCTCATTTTACCAAGAGGCACAGTGAGGTTCAGTTAGATCTCCAGGGTAACACGGCTAGCAAATGGTGGAGAAAGGATCTGAACCCAGCCACGCTCTTACCCACCATGGCACTCTTGGGGAACAGAAGAGTGTTAAGGGCACATTTAGTAAAAGTCTGCGTGCCTCAGTGACAGGGCAAGTGAACAGAGACACTCAGTGATGGAGCGGGGGAAGAAATCAGAGGTACAGGAAACTAGAGAGTTTAGACTTCACTTTATGAAAAAAGGGTCATGATAATAAGTCCAGGAAAGAGGGAACAAAGACCTAGGCTAGATATAACCAGTAAAAATTCAAAGGTGAAAATGATTTGAAAGATGGAGCAGATTTAGAACCAGTAAGTCTTGGCAAATCATAGAATGTGGAAGATGAGGTATGAGCCACAGTTACTGGTATTTTCCATCAGGTGAGTTATGAAAGATATGGGACAGAGGAGAGAGGGAGCCAGCGGCCATGCTCACACAGAGCGCCAGCACAATGAACTGGGGGTAGGAACACTACCGGGCGGGGACTGCTGAGTCAACTCTTGAATGACCTTCACCCTAACGACACCCAATCGGGTCAGCACACACTTAGCCCACCCTCGACCTCTCAGGCTGACGACTGACTTGCCTACCTATCAGAAAAGTTCTTTATGAAAATTATTTTGGTCCAACCTGAGGAAATAAAAGTCAAGGGGTCTTGCCATTTTGAAGGATTATACATTTTAACTAGAACTTGACTTGTACTCTGTCATCTTTGTATAAGAAAAAGAACGTATTACTTTTGCAACTTTTTTTTTACCTAGACTAACCCCATCATAGCACATTTGAAACCATTTACATGAAGAGACTTGTACTCTTAAGCAACGAAAAAAAGCAAAAGTCCTTACACTCCTTAGCAGTGCAAGACAGGAGACTTAAATGTAACAGTTTAAAAAGATGATAAATTTTCACAGGAATATTTATCTCGTGTTATGTGGCTTCTCACTAAAAAACCATATAGCAAATTCTACAAATTACTTCTCTGTTCTGTATCTCATTTTATTGTTAACGACCACAATTCTATGAGGGACCATGCCAGATGAGCCTCGTATTTCAGAAGAAACAGGTTTAAAAGCAGCGAAGGCCCCAAAGTCAGCAGTAGAGCAGAGGCCCCCGTTCAGATCATGTGACTCATAGCCTGTTCCTTTTTTTACACCGTATCATGTTTCCTGACCTTTTTTAAAACCTCCACCTCCCTTTTGATAAATATAAAAATTTCAAATCTCCTTTAATGTTATGTGAATCTCAAAATGATGACCAAGAAAATCAGCAATAAAACATTCCAATGACCCAAATAAAGGCAAAACTCATAAACCCATAGCTGTTAGTGGCTTTTTAAATGTATCTCTTCACTAAAGAATGTTTGTGCTTAATTTTTTAGGAACAAATTTAAAGATACCTAATTAAAATACCAAGTTACCACAATAATCACATGCTCAGTGCTTCATTTCTGTAAAATTTTAAATCCTTCCTCCTAACATTGGAAATCAACTTCCTCTATGTACTAAATATAACTTTATTATATTAAAATACTTGTCTATATTTTTACTCATTTTAAATATTCATATATATGCGTGCATGAAATATGTGTTTTATTATGAAACATCATACTCAAACTAAACCAAGCTCAAGCCACAATTAAGGAATAGAACCTCCTCAAAATATGAAATTTGAGTGCAAGACTTGTATATACATCTGCCTTCTGTGTTTCCAGAAGCACACTGCATAACGAAGGTGAGGAGGAGCTATTAGTGAGGCGACATCTCCCAGCATCAAGCCTAAGGCCCAACTAGGTTTTCCTGGCCAGAAGCTGTAGTGGAAGAAACTCCTTCTCAAAAGTATGTCGGCAAAATAGGACAGCAACTGATGAAAGCTGCTCACTTATTTGGGGGTAAATAAGAAGATACTCTACCTGGGAAACCTTCAAAGTGATTTTCTGGACATTACCTTTGGCAGCAGAATCAATTTTGAGTTCTAAAAAATTCTTCCTGGAGCTCTTCTGATAAAGACAAATATCAGGAAGAAAAGATTCCTTGTAAGCTTATAAATGGGATTTTCAAATAGGACATCAAGAAAATATCACCTGCATTCATCCTCTAGGAAGACTAAATGAAACGTGTTTTTCCCCTCTTTGGAATAAGTCTTGAGATCTTGTAAGTTCTTTCAAACAAAGACATTTTAACCTCCAAATTATAGATGGATTTGGTAAATGAATGCTTGTCTGTGCTTGAAGTTCCAGGTTCCTCAAAAATAGTGGTCAAATAACATGTAACAAAACTATATATGCATATACCCTTTGACCCGGCAATTCCATTTATAGGAATATGCTCTAAATACACACCTCCAACAATTTCAAAAGTATGTATACATGAAGGTATTCACTGCAGCATTCTTTGGTAATTGCAAAATAATAAAAACTACCTTAATGTCAAAAACATAAGCAATTGAATAAATTAGGATACATATAAGGGAGTACTATGCAGATGTAAAAACAATTAAGAAAGAACTTCACAAATTGATAGGGAATGATTTCTAAGATATAACGTTAAGTGAGTAAGCAAAGTGCAAAACAGTATAATCACTTTTTGTGAAAGACTAAAGAGAAAATAAGAAAACATGCATATACTCATGTATATTACAAGAAGAAACAAAGGGAGGATAAAACAAAAAACTGATTTTCGCAAGGGTCAGGTGAAATAGGGTGGAAGGGGTACGGGAGGTGGGGGGTGACTTCTCTGAGTAAATACAGATTTGACTTTTGGAAGCATGTTAAAGTTCTACAAATTAAAAATTAAACCTGAAGATGAAAACTAGCTTTAATAGATGACTGAAAGTGTGTGTCAAATGAAAAACAACGACACTGAAGAGAGGGGAAAAAAACCTCATTGATTTATGAATGCAGTGTTTGACTACATACTCTCAGCTTTTGGGAGAAGTGGGGAGAAGAGCAAACAAATCCTTAACTCTTTTTGGCAGGCATGCAGGTGAAGCGATTCTGAAACCATTTTAGATGTGGTATAGGGTTCAGCAAATGAGTAAAGTGTTGATTTTAGGGGCTGGGGTTCGCACTGAGGAAGAGGGGAAATGTAAATAGGAAATACTGTAAGGTAAGGAAGATGGTGTGGGATAAATCTAAATTGGAGGCATCAGGGTGAACTCACATTTCCTAAAGTTAATTATCTGTATGAACACATATAAATGTGCATGTATGTATTATGAACATACTGTGTGCATATATACGTGCTTACGTATTTTTCCCTCTAGTCTGACAACTAAGGAAGGCGAAAAGTGAACATGTCCCATGAGCAATATGCACACTTAGCACTCAGATCTTAGTTTCTAATACCAGAGTTCCTCAGTTAAAAACGGCTGATGCCAAGGCCAAGGCAGGGAGGATATAAGATGAGCCGGAAACACGGTGCCACGTCAGAAAGTAAGGGGTTGCTCAAGGAAGGCAGGCAGCAGGTCATAAAGACACAGGAGTCGGCCTGGAGAGCTCCTGCTCAAAGTCGGAACCACTGGCACACCAAAGCACTGCGGACAGCAGTGAATCCTAAGTCACTGCAAACAGGAATCCAGTAACAGGTAAGGGAGGGAGATAAATGATGAACAAATGAGGGAGAAGGGAAAACTCTTGCTTCCTATGGAATCCAAATGGTAAATGTACAGGAAGCGAAGTTGGAAAGTCATTTTGTAACCACTGCAGAAAAGACGTGTGCAGTCCGGAGCCACCAAGGAACGCTGACCTAGGGAGAGCAAGATGTCTGCGTGCTCTTCCGGGGTCTTCCCACACA